TTTCATTAACGATTTTGAGTCACATTTTGTTTCAATTTACGAATTCTAAAGACAATTTTTTGTTGAAAAGACAACTTTTTCTTGGAAAGACAAGTTTTTGTTGAGAAGACAAGTTTTTCTTTCTATTCACGAATTTGAAAAGGCAGGTTTCAAATTTGTTCTTTATTCAAGAAATAAACTGTTCCTAATTGCGTCAAGATCACGTAGGATAGGATCAATGGTAGGATCAACCAGATCAACCAGATCAATGGTAGGATCAACCTGGTAGGATCAACCAGATATCCGAACTAAGATAAGCATGGCTTAGTCTTTCACCCGCGCTAGCAGTCTGCAAGGGTCATTGAGCTATACGGAGCTATCATGCGTTTTCATATCTGGTTGATCCGAGATACCTCTTTAATTGCGTTCAGATCTGAGAGTAATCTTTGTTTAAAGCTAAGCTAAACTAAGCCAAGCTAAGCTAAGCTAAAAGTTTTCTTATTTTTTGTTACCCTAATTCGATTTTCCAGTTTCAATAGATGCAACTAGTCTTGTCAATCTAGCTCACCAATAAAGTCTCTGCATCAGTCTCTGCATCAGTCTCTGCATCAGTCTCTGCATCAGTCTCTGCATCAGTCTCTGCATTAAGTCATACATCTTAAAAATACATCTATTCACACGAATAATGTGGTACAAAGGCAGCCTTAAACCCTAATTGTAAGAAAAAAAATCATATAGATAGAAAAAAAGAACCAAAAAAGGATGAGCTAGCCGGCGGGATTGAACCCTTGATCTCCCAACTAAGATACGAGCCTCTTAGCCAGTCGGCTATGGCAGCTTCGGGATCAGCTTCAAAAATTAGCCAAATATCGATCAATGAAGTCACACAAAAGAAAGCTTTAAATTTTCAAGTTTCAACATTTTTAACTACTCCAGACAAATTGGGTTCTCAATGGGTCCCTTCTTTTTGCTATTCACCAAATCTCAGCCTAAGCCTGAGCACTTAACCCTCTCAATTTCTCTAAGTTATTCAATGATTATTGCATCACCCTCTCTTCTTCAAACTTCTTTAAAATTCCCTTGAAATTCCCGTGAAATTCCCCCACCCTCACCGGGAAATTCCAAATTCGTGATAGTGATTCTGTCTAAAAATTCTTCTCCGGTTTGGTGATTATTTGAAATTTTCTCTCTTCGTTTTCCTCATAAAACCCAAAAAAGAGCTTCGGGAGAATTTGAAGCGCTTTCGTGGCGAAGATAAGAATTCTTTCACCCGCCACCCTCACTTTTACCCTTTGCCCAAGCTTCGTCACTTCTGATTTTCAAAAACTATAAGATTTCAATAAACAATTTATGTTACAAGTTTTTTTGTGTCAAAATTCTCGTCTTTCTCTCACCAATTCTCGTCAATGTTAAAATTATCATTAAAAGCAAGAGATTTTGAATGTCAAGTTTCAAGTTTTGGATTATTCTGCCGTGGGCTTGTTGCCCAGTTATTATGTGCTTTCTTTTAGTTGTAAACTTTTCCTACTGCTTTACTACTTGCCAGCTTACAACTACGTACTTTAGCTTCTTTATTCAATGGATAATTCCTTTGAATTTTCGATTTAATCTCAAGTCTCTTCACACGTTTCAAGTTTCAATCGATTAGATTTCCATGTTTTACTTTGGAGTCGCCAGAGTTAGCTTAACTAATTAGCGAGAAAGTTGGTTCGAAATTTCAAACTAGACACTTGAAGCTATAAAGTTGTTAAGTCCGAAAGTTAAAGCTCTATCCATCCTCTATCAGGTTTCATTAGACAGCTTAGTTGACTAGATAGCCAAATCAAATGCTTCTGAGAAAAACTTGAGCTTTTGAAGCTTACTCCTTATCATCCTAAGCTGAAAAGCCAAGGCAAAGCCAGAGCCAAGGCAAAACCAAAACCAGAACCAAGACCAGAACCAAGACCCAAACCAGACCCAAACCAGAACCAAAACCAGAACCAAAACCAAAGCCAAAACCAGAACCAAAACCAAAACCAGAACCAGAACCAAAACCAAGCCAAAGCCAGAGCCAAGCCAAAGCCAGAGCCAGAGCCAAGCCAAAGCCAGAGCCAAGCCAAAACCAAAGCCAGAGCCAGAGCCAAGCCAAAGCCAGAGCCAAGCCAAAACCAAAACCAAAACCAAAGCCAAAACCAGAACCAGAACCAAAACCAAGGCCAAAACCAGAACCAAAACCAAAGCCAAAGCTCCCAACAAACTTTTAAAAGTGATTCACCTGCATAGATTTCTTTTCATCCAAATGGACATAGGCATGTGTCCATTGCACAAAACGTGATCATTGCCTGCACTTTTCCACCTTTCTTCCGCCTAAGTTTCTGATCTGAAAAGACATATGTTCCAAAGATGAATCGTTTCGACCACATGCAATAAAGCGAAAAGGGCAATGTTTCCTCTTCTCCTAGATCAATTCCTAGATCGCTTTCCTCAAGTTTATCCAAACTTTTAGCCTCAATGATTTCTTTTTGAAAATTTCCCTTTTTTCGTTTTCCCTAGTGTTGACCCTAGTGATTAATGTGTTTCAAAAGTTTTCTCGAAAAATTCGAAAACTTTTCCTCTTTCGTTCACTAGATCAACTGACCAATCCAAGGATTTTTTTGAGTCTCAAGTCTGGTTTTCTTCCGGGATTTGATTTCATTTGATTTCATTTGATTTCAATGTTATATTTTGTCCAATATTTTTCTGATTTGATGTATTTGTATGTCAGATTAACTTAAACTGTACATTTTTCCATGTGTTCCATTTGAGAAATCAGCGGCTGGCACACGTTTAGTACAGACTAATTACCACATTTTAGCATCAAAGTGATGATAAACGATTTTTAAACAACGGGATTCTATTATATAATAGAAATGTTTAGGTTTTGGTACACGGCCAGACTTTTGGTATCAAAAAATACTAGATTTTAAGGGCTATCATTTGTGGCACACTGTAGCACACTGTAGCATAAAGCAGCCTGGAGAATGGGAATAGCTAGAATAGGCGACTGTACGCCGGTAGTTATGGGAGACGAACTGACCATCAAAACCCTAGCGTCAAATCAGTTTTTTTGAAACTCATACTTTTAAAACCATTTGCACAGTTCGTTTTCATTTGCCATTTCAAAATTTACAGTGTCCAAATTTCTGGACTTGATTCAAAACCAAATGCTTAACAAGTTCAAATTTGAAATGGATTTTTTAACGGATTGAAAAGGTTAATTTTTTATGAACAACTCGATCTCTAACCACAAGTGTCTAGATCATTTTTCAAGATGTTTTAATGAAATTTAAAAAGCATAAAATGATTTTGAATGTAAAATGAATGTAAAAAGAATGTAAAATGAATGTAAAATGAATGTAAAAAGGATAAAATGAGCTTAGAAACATGTTGACTTTATCGGCTTTTAACGTAAAGATCCGCATTTTGACTTTTTATTCTAAAATTTTCAATTTCTTGACCGTTTTGCAGAATTTCATTTGATTTTTTCCTTTCTGAACCTACTTATCTTTTGAAATCATAAAAATAAGTATTTTTACAGTCAATCGGCGTCACTGAAATCACTGCGGAAAGCGTAAAATCGTAAAATTTAATGTACTTCAGAGAACATTCAGCGAAAATGCTTTTTCCACTATATTTTCTGCGACTATATTTTGTTGTTTAAATGGGATTGTTTTAAATTACCTATTTAGTTTAAAATGACGAATAATAGACACCACAAATACTCAAATAGAACGCCATCTTCTCCTCCAGTCGCACTGCTTTTTAGAAAATTTTTCTCAACTCCTAGATTTTCCTCGACTACACTTTTGGTACCAAAAAATGCTAGATTTTAAAGACTACCATTTACGGCACACTGTGGCATAAAGCAGCCTGGAGAATGGCATGTTCAAAGTTAGAATACGCGACTGTACGCCGGTAGTTATGGGAGACGAACTGGCTATCAAAACCCTAGCGTCAAATCAGTTTTTTTGAAACCATAAAATTTTAGATCCTTCTGAAATTTTTTTTATGCAAATTGCCCTTTCTGAACGTTTTTGTTCCAATAATGCTTCGAATTCGACAAATTCCTCAAAAAACAGAGAACACAACCATATTTTCCCCAGTTTCCCCAGTTTTTTCCCAATTTTTGCACGATCGTGAGAATTTTCCTGGCAGTAAAGCAGGAGAATCGGTGTTTACAATTCGATCTCCTTTTCCCCCATTTTCCCTTTCCTTTTCTGATTTTCGATTCGAAATTGATTCCGAATATCAATGAGCGTCATCTGACTGAACCGGGAAGGAAAAAAAGTTTATGAAAAGAAAAAAAATCCATAAAATCCTCTCAAAAACTGTGTCTTTTCACTGTTTTACAGTAAAAAAAAGACACTTTCAAACCAAACACTGAGCTTTTGAATCGAAAATTTACTCGTCTAACTTTGAAACTAAACAATTTTGCAAAGATTATTCAGCTGCAGAATCTTCTACAGTTCTTAAACTGGCCGAAAAAATTGATGTTTCAAATTTGACAAAGTCAATTCCTAAACGGGATTTTAATCTACTAACGAACTAATAAAACCTGTTTTTCGAAACCTAACAATTCCCTTATTCCCCAACAATTCCCAACAATTCCCAACAACTCCCAACAACTCCCAACAATTCCCAACAATTCCCAACAACTCCCAACAATTCCCAACAATTCCCAACAACTCCCAACAATTCCCTTATTTCAATTTCAACAATCTCCTTTCAAATGATCACGCTAGTGATTTTCTCGTATTCGGACAAAATCCGCAAATCTGTGATCCGTCTAATCAAAATACCCTTTAAAATTTTGAGATTGTAAGTAAATTTATCTACTTTTTTTGTAATTTTACTCTTATTTTAATCAAATTTTCCGGGTTTCGCATGTTTTTTTTTTCAATTCCTTTTCAATTGATTTCATTTTGGATGATTTTTTTTGTGGAAAAGGGAACTTCTCCGTGAAAAATCTCAATCATTCCATTTAATTTTTTTCAATTTACAGTATGCTGGGCTTCAAATTCCGCAAATTGGTCCTTTTCCTAAAAGGCGAAAAGCAAAAAAGAACGAAAACGATCACGACAAAAGAGAAAAGAAATCGCTCATCGAGTGGGAAAGAAGTCGAATTGCCTGATAGTGTTTGGTGGGTTTGAGAGAAAGATAATTGATTAAATCCTTATTAAAGTGCTGATGATTGAACAATTTGAAACTAGAAATTTTTAAAGAGATTGAAAAAGATTTCTTTTTGATAAACTAGTGCTTTTTGGTGAGCTTTTTCATGGAAATGATGGTAAATGTTACTTGTAACATTATTTGATTTTACTTGTAGCATTATTTACTTGTAGCATTATTTACTTGTAGCATTATCTACTTGTAACATTATCTACTTGTAACTTTATTTACTTGTAACATTATTTAATGAAATTCTTGAAAGAAACTCTAAAGAATCCTTTGGGTTTTAAACAAGAAAACGACGAAATTGTGGGAAAATGTTTGGACTTAAAATTTGAACATTTTCAAACAAGAGAAGGGTTAAATATTTAAAGAAACAAGAATTTAACAAGTCAAATATTTGATTATTTTGAAATAAGAAGATTTAAAGTTTATTCAAGTCAAAATCTTTGCCAAATTTTGTTTAAAACTTAAACATAACGTTTTTTTGTATAGAGAATAGATAATAGATATAATAGTTATAATTAGTTATAATAGCTATAATAGTTATGATAGTTATAATCGTTATAATAGTTATAATAGATTATTGTAGATCGCATCAATTTTAACTATCAATTTCAATGCAGGCAAAAGATCTTCGATCACTCTTCGCCGTACGATGTGGCTCAATGGAGGGGTGTATCAAAGAATCTCGACACGATCATCAAGGTGAGCATCGAATTTTTCATGTTTCAAATTTACCACCTACTTTTCGCTACATCAAATCCAATTATTTCCTCTTATTTAATAGGTATTAAACTTGAATTTACTTGAATACTTGAATACTTGTGTACTTGAATTTTCTAGAAACGATACGAGACAATCCTTTACCTCGACGTGTGGCGAATGAATCTAAACGAGCTGCTCCCGGCACCCTATGATAATGATGGTTTGTTTTTTTTGGAAAAATAACAATAAAAATAAAATAATTTGGCACAAAATAACAATAAAATTCTTTAAATTAGTACTCTAGTAAAGAAAATAACAGAAATAAATAACAGAAATATTTTTTGCTCCAAAATTTAAATCCCTTGTTTCAAATTATTTAAGGAGTAAGCTAGTTTTTGAGGATGAATTAATCTAGCAGAATTTCATGGTGAATCGAATGAGACTTACCGCAAGTCGATCAGATGCCTAGAAGTATCCTAAGCGGGTTTCGTGTTCTTTTTTTTGACCGTGAAAGTAATTACCGTATTTTCTCTAATAGTAGTGGTATTTTCTCTAGTATTTTCTCTAATCTCTAATATTTTCACCCCGGCGAGCCGAGTTGGTGACTATTTTACGGTTTTCAAGCTTTTGCAGAAGCTCAACACTCAAATCCCCCACAAGATCTCATCGTCAGCTACATTTTTCGACCCCACATCGATAGCTTCTGATAGATTCCCGAGATTTCGAGCAATTTAGGCGACGCTCAGGGTGCCCTACTATTAGAAAAAATCCGGTAATCCTCAAAAACTGGAGACAATTTTGTATAAATGTTGATCAAATCTCAAAAAAAAAGCCGAAAATGATCTGAAAATTGTTTTTTTTAAAGTCAAAATAGTAAACTAGTTTATTTTTTTAATCATTTCCGGTGATTTTTACATTTTTTGGATCATTTCTAGCTTTTCTAGTAAATTTAGATTGTCTTAAAATAGTCCCTATTTCAAACTAATCGATTGACTAAGAAATTGGTGACAATTAATTAATGACAGCTAAAAATAGACCAAAAAACATTGGCTAATGTTCAAATTATTCTAAAAATTGCTGAGTTTTTGGCAATTTTGGCTGAGTTCAACGCTGAATTCTTAGCAATTTTTCTAAGGAAAAAAACTCCATGTTTCAAATTAGTTAATGAGTAAAACAAGAAATTAGTGGCAATGTTTCGGCAGTTTAAAATTAGCAATTTTGAAAGAATTAATCAAATTTTCAAATCATTTCAAAAAATGATCGAATTTCACATATCACCGCCAATTTTGACACCAATTCCATTTTGAAATTTTCATTTTTGACACCAACTCTCACTGATCATCCAATAGTCCCTTTTTGGTCAGACATCACATGAAAGCTCGTGTTTCAAAGAGTTAAAAGAAAGGAAAGTTTTCTTTCTTTTCAAAAGATCTTTCTCTTGTACTTTTTATTTTTTTACGTGGATCCTTCGCCTTTGAAGCCTGAGATTTTTCCCTCATGCTCTTTGAAGTCTGGCCTCAAATTTCCCCTCGAAGTGACCACAGCTGAGCCGCTCTTTGAACACTTTACAACTAGCTGGCAGATTTCCGCAAAAATGAGAGGGGATTTAAAAAAAACAATACTGATTTTTGACACTTGAAAAGCGTAGAATTTTAACGTTATAAGCTATGGATGTTTTTTAAACGAAAATTTTAAATACTGATTCAAATCGGTTGCTAAAACTCGCAGTATTAAATTCTTGCAGTATTAAATTTCGAAAGCAAATTTCAAGTTGCTTATTTTGAAACAAGCTTTTGGAACTTCAATTGAAACTTCCTAGCATGGAAATCTAATATAAATTTAATCGAAATGCATCATTATTGAGCCCAGAAATGGTAAAGCTTTAAATGAAAAAGCGCAATTTGACTTAAAAACAAACACTCGAGATTCCAGGCGACTTTTTCCGTCACCCAAGCGCCAATCTTCTCATGCACGTCGAGGCGCACAGCGCGATCATCGTCATTCACCACGAATGGTCGCTGAAAGACGTGGTGAAACTCTGGCAAGGGTTGCAGGCATTTCGCTCGACTGCACAAACGATCATGGTGAGTCACTCGATGATTTGCATTTTCTAAAAGACACCTAGACAAACTATGGTAATCCAGTCGCCAGTTTTCATTTAATTAGCCAAATTTTGATAGCATTAACTGAGCCTTGTGATTCCCTCATGGAATAATATAAAAATTGGGTTAATTGAATGAGAGCTAGCTGATGGTTTAAGTTATTTTTTGAAAATGGGTGCATTTTAGAAAGGGTTGGCTCAGTGGAATATTATTTTTAAAATAAGGCTCGCATTACCCATTACTTTGAAACATTGCATTTTTAACATTGTTTCAACTGCTTTTGTTTCATCATATTTACAATAAATGCTAAATTTAAGCCAGTTTTACAGCTATTACAGCAAAATTTCTACAAGTTAAGCACACTTTTATTCCTTTTTTAAAAATATTTCATGTTAATTTAGAGCTAGCTTCTTCATTATTTGGAGAAATAAGCTCAGTTTCTGATAAAATTGAAACATGAATTTTACAATCTGGATCAAATTTAGCCTTTTTATAAGTAGAACAAGTAGTTTATTTGAAAAAATGTTAATAAAAATCTCTTTCAGTTAGACGCCTCAGTGTTTGAGCTCACAATGGCTGGCCTTGCGCTCAGAGACATTTCGCGGTAAGTAAAAAAAAAGCGAAAATGAAACTAACATTTAGAATTGAAAGCTGTAGCTGAATTTTTAAAAATAGAAAGCAATCTTTTTCTTTAGTTGGTTCAACTTCATGTGCTCGTTGACCCGTTCGAAAGAAGAGGACCGAATCGTGCTCAAAACGAAACCCGGCCGTTTCGCTGATGAGCCTTTCTTCCCGAAAGTGAAAGAGGTGAGCTTTGTTAAAGTCAAATCAACTAAAATGATGATTTTAGACTTATAAAGATCTTCAATATATCAGCTAAGTTTCAGCTAACAATTCGCACCACCTATCCCGAGTTGAAACAATTGCGAAGAGTGCCCGAGTACGGTGTGCCGACCAATCACCTCTTCAACGAGGGAACCATTCAATTGTTGAGGTCAGTTTAGAGTTAAATTCAATTCAATTAAAGAAGTTAAATCAAAGCATAATAGAAAAGCTAATGGTTTCTTTTCAATATTAGAGTTATTTCAATTTAAAGCATATGAAATTCTTTTTGAAATCTCTAATCGCTTTTAAAGCTTTTTCAAAACTTTATTGGCTTTATTCTAGCATAAATTTTGATGTGTTTTGATGCTTTGATGATTGAAAAGTCTTAAATTGCAAAAAAAAGAAAATCTTATGCTAATTTTATCCTAATTAGATGAAAGCCAAAAGATTAGGGTTTTGAAAGGAAATCTTGCGTTTCCATTTTGAAATATGATTCTCGTAAAAGCTTGATTAGTTTCTAAACGTTGTTAAAGTTGTTTCCCTGAAAAAACACCTAAACAATACCTACAACACCTAAACAACACCTACAACACCTAAACAACACCTAAACAACATCTAAACAATACCTACAACACCTAAACAACACCTATAACACCTAAACAACACCTAAACAACACCTATAACACCTAAACAACACCTAAACAACACCTAAAAAACACCAACAACACCTAAACAACACCCAAACAAAACCTAAACAACACCTAAAAACAACACCTACAACACCTAAACTGATCATTTACGGAATAGGAAACTAGTAAGCCCAAAACTAAGCTTTAAATCTCAAATTTTTGGCTGAAAATCGTAAAACTTTAGAGTAAATCTCTATCAAAATTTCTACCTGAACCTTTTCAGATTGAACATCGCCAACGGAAAACACACGACCACCCCGTCGCACACTCGTTACACTCCATTCTTGATACGCTTCAAGCGATGGCTGAACACGTCATCGATGGGCGAGAAATATTGTCAACAATATAGTTAAAAGGATAAAACTAAAAAAAAAACAACACTGAATCGTATGTATGCATGTAAAAATCTTAAGCTAGTGAAATATTAAATTAAATATTAAATCATTATTAAATTTGAAATCCCTCGTTGTAACCTGTCAAACTTGAAACTCACTAGTCAAAAAGTCTCGAAATCGAGATTTATCTTCTTTTTTTTGTTCTTATTTTTTAGCTAATTTAAATTGGAATACTCAATCCTTTCGGACTCAATTTTTGAATGGCAATTGGCTTAGGCAATGGCTTAGTAGATTACGTTCACCAATCAAAACTTCTCAGTCGAAAAAAAAGAAAAATTAGCTTTGTCTAGATGAGTCAAATGCCGATAAATCCAAAAAAAGATCAACTTTTAAGATTACTTTCAATTTGTATTTGTTTTCTTTTGAAACAACGATTTTTCCAGCCATTCACTTGACGAAATTTTCCCATTTTTCCCATTTTTTTGCCATTTTTTCCCATGTTTTACCCAAATTTTGCTGCAATATTTAGAAAATCCAGTTTTTATATGTTTTCTTTTGTTTTTTTGAAACCCCAACTTGTTACGTGTTGAAAATTTTCCCCATTTTTCTTCCCCACCGATCAGAAACGGGTTGATTGGGTCATTTTTTTCTTTTTCTTTTCCTTTTTTTCCTTTTTTTATCTTTTTTTTGTGTTTATGGTGTTTAGGCGCCGAATTTTTATTTGTTTCTTGATTCTTTTATTTGATTTTATTTAAATTTCAACTTATTATATATCCTTAATTATTCCTACCGGTACCCCCATCTAGCCGAGAGTTTTATCGTTTCATTTATTTTCATTTTTACAAATATTTTCGCTGCACTGTGACACGATGATCTTTGTACATAAATTATTTAAAAGAAACGTTTGGGTTCTTGAAGAAAAACACAGTAAAGCTATTCAATTAGAAGATTTTTCAAGGAAATTGCGGGGAAATTGAAGATCCAAGGAGAATTCAAGCAGTAATTGCGGCTCGCGGAGGACCTACTAAGTATTGATTTTCATAATGTTTTTCTCACATGTTAAAAGACTTTTGTCCATCAATTTTTGGCCCAATTTTTGCCTCAATTTTTGTTTTATTAAAAAGTTCATGACACCTGATAAATTGTAATCCATCTTTTTGTAATGTTAAAATTAGAGATAAGCCCTTTAAATCTTTTAACCGTTTGCAAATTGGTCGGATTTGGATCAAGATATACAAAGAACAAACTTCTAAAAACCAACGTTAAAAGGCTTTTGTTTTACGACCATGACTGTAATTTTACGATTTTATATATACTTTAAGAGAGAAACAAAAGTTTCATAAAAAACTGAGCACCGAAGAAACGAAGAATAAAAACCGAAGTACGGCGGGAGTCCCGATTTATCGAAATTGTAATTTCAAAATGAAACGTAAATCTCTTTCACTTTGACTTCTTTGACGACTTTTGCAACCATTAAGATTTGATGTTTTAAACTAGAACTTTGGCCACATTAACTATAAGGGCCAAAATTCTGCGCTGTAGTGAATTATCCTTGCCGTACCATTTTGTTTTCTATGTTTGATAAAATAATGTTTAACGCAACTTCAACAACAAATAAAAAAAAGAGACACGTTGTAGAGGAACCGATGCTTGCGTAAGCGTTCGCCCGTCGATCACGCTCCAATGAGCTTTGTCTCCCCCCCTTTCACACCACGCTCTCTTTATCACGGCGCAAAAAAAACAATTGTTAGGGTTCGCTCAAAAATGCACGTCAGTGGAAGAATTTAAAGAGACAAGTCTTCTTTTGCTAGAAACGAGCCTACCTTTACCACACGTCACGGCTCTTCGAGGCCTCGAGACACGGTCCACCAGAAAAGTAAAACTGCTTTGCGCAAGGGAACAAAAATCTTTTCTTTCGATCGTCGCGATCACGCTCTCCACGCTCTCGAGATCTGAATGAGCTCATGGAAAATACTATAAATAATAGGCTTAGCTTCGTTGTGACTTATACTTTTAGTCTTTGTCAAAATGTACCTGCTTCTTTTTCGGCTAATCAAACTTGGCCTCTCCTTCTTGCGCGTGGCCTTATCATCATCGTCTGATTCAGACTCGGAGACCTAAAAGCTCCCTAGATTAATGAAAAAGTCAGAAGAAAACCTTTCTAAGATCCTCGTCAAGAGGCGATTTGTACTCCTCGATGGCCGCTATTTCTTCAAGAGCGATTCGTTTCTAAAAATGAATTTATCTATAAAATAGCCACAAGCTACCCGTAAGCGTGACATTTGGATGTCGAACACGGACTCTTCTCGCAATAGCATATCAATGAAATCGTCCATATACATCAATTCGAATCCTAGTAAGAGAGTGTTAATTTAACAATGAAGTTTTAAAAACCTACTGCCCATATGATTCATCACCCGAAGCTTTCGAAAGTCACTATACAATGGCTCCAAATAATTGTAGATGTCAAGCGTGTCAAGCGACGGGAAGACCATTCGCAAGTATAGAGCACCCAGAGCTCGAATGTATCTAAAAACAACTTTAGAGGTGGTGCCATCACTTTTTAAACCTAATCCTTTTTTCAAAAACCTTACTTAAACTCGTCCTGTTTTATGAACTCCATTACAATCTCACGATCTGGCTGAAGCTGAAGCATTTTGAGCACCAAACAGAGAAATGGAGTCGGCTTGATGTTTCCCGCCTAGATTCAGCCAAGGTACCGTAGCTCCATCCCTTTGCCGACGAGAAGTTCGGCTAAGGTCGAGAAAAATTGATAGCAATCTATAATACGATCTAGCAAACTATAAGTTACTTTTACTTTCAGAAAAGATGCGTAAACTTAGAAATCAAATAGAAAAGAATTTCAGCAATAAATTTTGAATGAAATATTGATAAACTTTTACCTGATAAGGCAAAGCATTCTTCTTTCCAGAACTTGCTGTCGTAGATACGTTGACGAATGATCTTCTCGACCAAAAATTGTGGATTGGTTCCTTTTACTGTAGAGGCATCTTTCACTGTCCTATTTGCCATTCTGAAAAAACTGATGAAAGAGATTCGATAAACTTTACGCTAGAAGAAAAACGGTAGGCGAACCATTGAATAGGAAAACAAATATTCTCATTGGAAAGACAAATCGAAAAAATAATTTATTGGATAGAACGACAAAACATATGATGGTCACTGACCCAATGAAAGTAACTTTGAGTGAAAAAATTAAATAAGAAAAAGAACGACATAAATTTTTGAACAGAAGCTTGATCCTGTTGATTAGAGATTGTTGGAGTGAGAAGATTGTTCCTTGACTAACTAAATTTAGCAAATTCAAGCCAATATTCTTCAAAAGACGCACCTCGTAATATCGCGGTAGTTTTGAGCACGAAGCCCTTCTTCCAATCGACCTGCAGCCGTCAAAGAGTCGTAACCCGCAAATTCGATGTAGACATCGAGCTGACCCAATCTTTCCCAATTATTTCGTACATCTTTCTAAAATAATCAAATCAAATTGATCTATTATAAGCAACGTTCAAACCTCTAATTGAACTCCTGGAATCAACATTTGGCAATAGGGCTCTCTACCGATGGATTTAATGGGTGGCTTTTCCCGCGGCAGACAAGAGAATCGTGGACCGCCTCGTCCTCGTCGTCGATTTTGCTGACAATGACGAAAGCGGTAGGCTACACCGCCGTAAGCGAATTCAAAGTGATCCCTCGTCACATTGAATGGTGAATTCACTTGAAAAAAACAGATTCGCGGTGCCATGTTGATACGCTTAAAAATGAAATGAAAGTAAAACAATTAATAATAACATAATTAAACCAAGATAATGCCCGGTTTGATTCATAACCGTAGGATCCGCCATTTATCAAAGGATTGGTAGGCCATATAACAAAAGAAAAACATTTATTGGGCAAGAACGACAAAAATTTTAACAAAAACTTGATCCTGTCGAATCAGTAATTGTTGTCATGGTCTCGGGCAGCTTATCCTGCAAAAAAATCAATGAAGCTTGAAGTCTCAAAATCAAAATCTAGACACAATTATTATATTTTGACCATCAAAGACTGAGGAAAATGAATTTTCATATGATCAATGCTAATGACTCGCCGTAAAGGCTCCGTCCTACATAGATTATGAGTGATTATTGCAAATAGATTTAATGGATTTAATCAATCCGAGCTATTTCTTAAAACATTAAACCGAACCTCGTGAAACATTCACGTATCCCTGGGCTTTCAAATCGCGCGTCAAATCACCAAAAGCTTCTTCGCAACCATCCCCCGCGAATTCAATGTAAACATCCATTATGTTCACATTGTGCCAGACCTTCTGGGGATCTTCTTTCTAAAAATAATCCAATCAATCAACTTATAAGAGAAATTTCCTACCTTTAACATTACTCCCGTGATTAGCATATGAGCAGATGAACGAGTCGGTACAGAATTCAATCCGCGTCTGGTGGTAAATTGACGAGGCAGCTGCTGGTTTCGACGCCGCTGCGGAGGATTCACGTTGCCGTGAGTGAAGCGATACTTCTCACCGTCATAGGTCAGTTCAAAATAGTTGGCATTGACCGTGACACCTGCAGCAACATCATGAAACATGATTTTGGGTCCCATTCCGATGAGACTAAAAGAAAAATGTAAAATCGGCGAATAATACGAGGATAACTAATCAAGATTTATTTGGTGTAACTTTTTAGACTCTTAGGTAAAAACCCGCAATTTGGTACAACTTTTTGTCTCCCAGGTGAGGGGGCAGGGCTTCATCAGTTTAGTGCGGCGGTTATTAGAAGAAATAAGGTAATCAAAAAGGGTCACGAAGAATGTTGACTGATGAAGAAAGTCTTTGAAACGATTGAAAATTTTCGGCTTTTATCAGCTAGTTTTTCAAATGTAAATGAGCTATCCTTTATTGCTAATACAACCCACATGTTGAGATCCATCTCATCGCTTTCTTCATCCCCATCACTCGAGAATTCCTCGTCTTCGGAAGTGATTTTCGGATTTGGGCGCACCTGAACAAGCAATTTCGACTCGATTCTCGGGTATGCGTAAACGGACTACACGATCAAGGTAATAGAAACCTGTTTATAGCCTCCCATGTTTTTGAGTTTTGAGGCCATCTCTCCTAGCTGTGCCACATCTTCAAATTCGACGGATAAATTGACCAGGAGAGCGTCCTGCCAAGCTTCAGTCGTGTCCACAGTCTTAAAAAGAATCCATTTTGAATGTAAAACTTAAACTACCTGCAACATCATGTCAGAAATCGTGATCTGACTCCTGGGAAATGATTGCACCCAGTATTTCCGTTTGTTCGATTTGAGCGAATAGTTGAAACGAAAGTGTTTCTTTAAGTAGACTATCTCCAAATCTTCAGGTGTCAGCTCAAAAGAATCCAGGTCCTTGAAGAACAGAAGTTCCGGTAGCATTTCGAGAGACCTGAATGAGATAAGTTAATTGACCAATATCTACAAATTCAAAAATGCCAGAAAGAAATGGTAAAAAAAGTTAGCCAAAAATATGTGAGAAAGTCAAATTCAACACATAATTAAACCAAGATAATGTCCGGTTTGATTCATAGCCGTAGGATCTGCCATTTATCAACGGATTGGTAGGCCATATAACAAAAGAAAAACATTTATTGCGAAAGAACGACAATTTCTCACATAATATTCTTTATTTTTGTTTAACAGACTATTGGAAGTAATGAAGGGGGCTTCGGGGTTTCTGCCCCGAAATGGGCGGTATGGTACTCATTTTCTAGGCTTAGTTCCTTTAAAAAGCTTAGAAAATGAACATTTCTGAAATTTAGTAGAGCCATTTTCGGGGGGTGGGACAAATGCGACCTTTTTTTTGCGCACCTGGACATTTGCGCAGCTTTTTTTGCTGTAAAAGGCCTTAGGGAAGGTCGTAGAGCTTCAAAAATGTTTTCATAGAAGGGAAAATCACACCTCGCTGGCACGTGAAATTTGGACTAAAAGGCAAAAACTGCGGAAGAGCGTTAAGTTGCGTAGTTTTTGCCTTTTAGCTCAAATTTAACGTGTCAGGGAGGTCTGATTTGCTTTGATTTGTCGAAATTCGGAATCTACGCATACGATTCCCTATTGTGGAAACATTTTTGAAGCTCTACGACCTTTCCGAGGGCCTTTTCCACCAAAAAAAAGGTCGCATTTTCTATTTTTTTCGAGCTTATAAGCTGTCTTTTCCTGAAAAGTTTATTTTATTTTTTCTAACTTTACCTTTACGAAAAGAAATTTACCAGTCTCACCACGTAGCTTTTCTAAAATTCTCTGGTGGGAGCCAGATTTCTTCAAAACTTCTTGTAACGTCGCTTCTTTCTTTCATAGAATGGGCTTTTGTTTGATAATTCTGTCTCTTTTAAAGTTTCGTTTTAGAAAATGTCGGACAATGGGAAGAAGCACTCGATTTCCCCTGAATCTCTCCTCAAAATGCGCTCCGGATCGACGGTGCTCGACTCAATCGCGCCCGAAAGCCGCTTCTAAGGGTCCTATAGCTGAAAAGGAAAATAACGGTGTGTAATTTTTTATGCTAACTTTTAAAGGTTCTGTGAGTGCGAAGTTCAGTTTCTACTTATATGGAGGTTTTGATAGAAGCCATCAAATCTTTAAAAGGCTTTGAATCACTTTATTTTTAGTACCCATCGGATATCAGCAAACGAACAAAATTATGGTGCAGCAAATTCGACAATTGAAGCTCGAGGTGGCCAACGGCAAAGGACAAATCGAGGATCTGCGAAAGGAAAACTTCCGACTAAAGTTTTAAACAAATTTTATTAATAAATTTAATTATTTAGCGAACGTCTCCACGCGCTCGAAGCGGCAACTGGGAATGAACGTGTGGAGATGATTTTGAACGAAAGAATAAAGGTTTTCTTTTGAAAAGTTCAGTTTTAGAAGAGGCTATGCATTTTGTTTTATAATTACATTTTGATCTTTTAGAAAAAAACTTGGCTAGTCGGCTCAAATCTCTAAACGTTGCATCGAGACAATGGAAAAGCACAAATAGGACTTTACAATTGTTTTGAGCGATATTGGGTAAGGTTTTCTAGATCATGCTTTAATGACTTTAATTTAATGAGATAAAGAATTTGGCAGACTTAGGCACTTGTGAATTTAGTGAGTTAACTAGCAATTTACGGTTACTTAAGAATCTTTTGAGAGAGTGATAAGATGATACGGTCTTGGTATATTTTAGGACATGGAAGAGCCATTTGATCCGGACGCGACTCCAAAAGCCGAACAACCATCGTCATCAAGAGCGAAGTCAATAAAGAAATTAGCGCCTGAAACTCTTAAAGGTGCTTTTTTAAAGGGTAAAAGGTCTTAAGATAAATTTAGTTGTGCCACGTTCAGTAAAACGAAAAGCTGCAGTCGAATTGGAGACGCCAAGGTTGGCGGCTGGAAAAGTGGGTTTCATTTTTGAACTACGCACATCATGTAAAGTGCCGGATTTTCATTAGAATACTATTGGCCTAGATAAACATTAATTTAAAAAAATTAGTGTGTGTTTAGGCAAATGAGCAAATGTTACCACCCGGGACCCCACTCGACTTCCCGAATCCACTCATCGAGACGGATACAGTGAGAAGACGTCGTCAGGCAACCCTTCGAGTAAATCACTATCATTTTCTGACTTGATAACTTTTATTCCTAGGTTCCCACATATGCTCTCCTCGTTTTGAAAATGAGACGACCTGGCAAAGCGGATGAACCCAACCCTTATAGTTCGTGAGTGCTTTATCGGTTTTGTCTAACTTTTAACATTCGTGGTCTCTTGATGCGTGTGTTTTTATGTTATTCTGCTTCTAGTGTTTTGGGATAAAACATTTATTTATTTGCACTAAATAAGAACAATAAATTTGTGTCTAATTTTTTTTAGTTTTGAGCAATTCGGACTGATACTCGGAATTGTGGAAAATTACGGAAACATCAAAGTACACGGAAGCTAGCAAACACCACGCTGTGTTGCGCTAAAAACAGTTATTTCTTCCTCACCATCATTAACAAAATTATAGTTAATGTGGCCAAAGTTCTAGTTGAAAACATCAAATCTTAATGGTTGCAAAAGTCGTCAAAGTTTAAAACTGGAAAACCCTCCCTAGTAGCAAGACAATTAAGGCAAGCATGTGTGCAATCAGTCAAGTCTGAACAAATTATTCCATTTTCCTACTTTTCTACCTGAAGATGGTAATGGTAAAAAAATTAACAAAATTACCCTATTTCTGAAAGAACTCATCATTCATCGCACGGACATCGACGAATTACTGGAACTTTTGCGAGTAAGCCTTAATATCTGTTTAGCTACTCTATTTCCGAGTCATTCTCGGAAAAGATTCCTTAAGTTGAACTTATTTACTAGGAAAGTTTTCATCGTCGTATTCTAAAATCTAAGATCTTAAAGACATAAGATTTTACAAATTGTTCACTAATAACGTCTTTAAATCGAAAATTCAAACTTGTGACAATAAAAAAATGGATTAAAAATCAAATTCCCCAATGAAAGGTAATGATAGTAGATTGAGGCAAAGAAAGGCCGAATAATTTTAAGAAAAAGATCAAATCTTTGAAAGCGTTCTTAAGATAAACTTTATCAAAACCGACTGACTAAATTGGGCGTTTCAATGTGGCAATTTTCGTTTCAATAAAGCGTGTTACCGGGGTATCGAAAAGGAAAGGTTCGTTCGTGGAAAAAAATTCATTTTCAACTTCTGAAAAGCTTTTGAAGAGCAAAAACTGGTCCATCTTTCGGTTTTCATTCGTTTATTAACGATTCAGATTTTGCATTCTTCTTTACGACTAAAGTTACACGACTAAAGTTTGTTTTGGGCTATTAACTTTGCCTAGGGTTAATATTTTTAAGCACGTTTTTTAGAGAAGACTTTTTTGTCTGTCAAGCAACATATCATAGGGTTGATTGGACTAGAGAAATTTAAAGAAAAGTCCAAAAAAGTAGCGCAGAATTCTAGAGAAAGTTATAAGCTCTCAAAGCGTTGCTAGCTTGTCTAGTAGCCTGTCTAGTCCGGAGCCGGATTCGAATCCGTCTAGTTTGAGTAGCCTAAACCAGCTCTATGAGTCATGATTTAAAAGTCTGAAGTCTCATTTAGAAGACTAAACAAAGAAAAATCATTAAAATATGAATTCTAGGCAAAGTTATAAACTCTCAAAGCGTTGCTAGTCGTTCAAAAACTGCAAGCATTCAACATCTCAATTTTTTCGCTTTTTTTTATTTATTCTAATCTCTTTTTAGTTTACTCTAATAAATATTCTTTTCTAAGCAAAAAGTTAAATTTTATTGCTCTTTCTTCTTTAATTTCTTCTTCTTTTCCATTTTTTTCCTTGTAAATAAAAGATGTTCGACCTCAAAAAAAAGCCAAAACATAAAAAAAAGAGAAAAAGAAAGGTAAAAGAAATTTAAATAGAACAAAGTTCTCATCGATTTTCATTTAGCTAGATTTGCCTAGATTTGCCTAGATTGGCCTAGATTTAAAACCGCAATTTCGGCAATTGATTTGACTGCTCTGTGATTCTTTCTTGAGGTATCTATTTATCTTTTGGGTGTGTTTTGGGTGGTGTCCCGGGTAATTATTATGATTTTGTTTTGTCGCTATTCAACTGAATAAAGATATATATATATATATTTCATTTTGTTCTACACATCACTCGAAATAGTGAAATTTGAGACCATTTCAGATGAAGGAATTGAATTTCTTTCTCAGTTAAAGATCCTTTTTTTTATTGTTTCTTTACTGGGTGGGCCTCGATTTGTCAAAGCGTTAGCTTAATGGATACAAAAGTTCGTCGATTATCCTACAATCAGGTCAGTTTCAAGTAGAAATTGCTACTCAAAAAGAAAACGAATAACTTGATTATAAGAATAACTTGAGATCTGTAAGGAATTTTTAAGTTATTCAATTGATTTTTGCCTTTCGATTTGCACTAAATTGTTTAAAAAAAGCAACGTTTATTTGGTTTTTATGAAATTTATATGAAAAATAGAAATTGTATTTCTATTTCTAAATACAATTTCGATTTTTCATAATTTCATAAAAAATGAGTTCAATTTCTAAACAAGTTAAAGGCTAAGAATCAAGGTTTCAAATTTGTTGATTACTGGGCGTTACGGCCTTTTCAAAGTTGACTCGTTGTTGTTTTTTTTATTGATCCTTCCTCCAATTTTATTTCCGAAAAGCTTTCAGGCAAATTGCTCACCCGAGTTCTATTCACGGGATTTCGTCCAAACAAACACAAAGAACGCCTCGATGAAGATAAACGACGAGAAAAATGGGAAACTATTTGTGGCTGACGGTTGCTATTTGCTGGATCGTGATGATGAGGACGTCGGCGAGAAGCAATTTCACGAATTTCAACAAGTTTGTTTCAACAACAACAAGCTTGTTAACATGAGACGCTATCGGTGAGCTGTAATGAAAACTCGTCACTTGATCGGTGAATTTGACCAAAAGGTTTTCTTGAACTGAACTTGAACTTGAATCTATTAGGTAAATGCATAAGAAATGCGAATTTCAACATTTTCATAAATTCCCAACGATAGAAACCTGATATCGATGAATGTTAGCAACTATTTGAAAGTTGTAAAACTCCTCTATAAAATAGGCTAAAACGTGTTTCAATTGATCGAACCATTGAAGAAATTTCGGGGGCGAAACGCGAGTGACCAAAAAAGGAATCGAGTCACTTTAGGGGCAAGTTTAGTGTGCTCAAAATAGAGTTAGCTTCCCAAAATTGAAGATTTAAAAAAAAGGATAACTATATAAGTTCTGCCCGAATGTGTTGGAATTAATTTTTGGCTTATCTCGAAGCCAAATAACCCATTTGTTTGCTTACAGGTGCTCAAGTGGATAGGCTTTCTTGTGGATGTGAAATCATGCAACGAGCTCCCCTTTCTTCAGCGCTTATGGCTTTGCTTTTTTCTTCTCATAAGTGAGTCGACGAGTGACTTTTGCCCTTATTTATATACATTTTCAGGTATTTATTCTGTCATCTTTGATCTCTTTTTTCTCTTTTCCGACTTTCACGCAAATCTCGCCCCAAGCACGATGGTTGTGTCGGCGATCACCTTTCAATCGTCACTCTCTTTGGTCAAACTCAAAAATATTCTGATTTATCTTTATCTTGTTTATTAGCTTCTTTTTTCATTTCAGATTTTCCTACTTCGTTGGCAGAAAAATCTCAAATTTCAACACTTTTTTCCCATGTATAAACACTCAAAAATTCGAGGTGTTGACGAGCTTAACGAGGTGATTTTGGATGCATTTGGATGCAATCCTTTTATGTCAACACAAATTTCATTTACATTTTAAGAAACTATTCAGTTCAGCTTATTTTATTTTCTAATTGTTACAGCAAAATCAATTTACAGTCACAGAAACGGGTTCATTCCGGCAATCGAAAGCTATTTTGGGGACTTCAGGTTTGTGGCCAGTTTTATTGGGTTGTCCAGTTATGAATGCGCGTTTTTACTATTTTGTAAATTTCTCAAGATATCAAACAGATTTATATGAGTGTTATATATCATTCGAGAGCTGAAAATCTCCTCTACATTTTGGAATAAAAATGTTTTTGAATTTGTCCAGGTTTTTAGGCAAATTGACTGCACAAAGGGAGAGGTCGTTTTCGAAAAAACCCATTCCAGCTTAGCTATTCCTCAAGTTTTATGGTGTAAAATAACCGCCCAGAAAAGAAAAGTAAAGTAAAGATGCTCTGAAATTGTTATATTTTTAAAAAAATTGTATTGATATATTTATTGGCCAAACATCAAACGGTTAACTCAATTTGAGCGAAGTCAAAACTTGATTCAA